CAAACATGTCACGAATGCAAAAGAGCATTCGTGTTGCAGATTTTTGCAGGCGTGTTGTGGAATTTGCAAAGCGTTTTTACTCTCAGCAAGCGTACAAGATGTCTAAGTCTACCTGCACAGGCACTTTACAACTTCCAATCGTATCCCTGACAATCTCCTCAGCTATCATCTGATGATGACACAGCCTCTGGGATGGCCAACATTTCTGGGCTTGCAGGGCAGCTAGCAGTTAGCAATAAAGGACTTTTTAAGCCATGACTTGTCTATGTGTTGCCATTGTTTATTGTCCAACTAGCAACTAGCACATACCTTCACACAGCCAGTGCCAGCTGAAACACTGGAAGGATAGGATAGGATAGGATAGTATTTTATTGATCCCCAGAGGGGAAATTCGGGAAGGAAGATATTACTGGCACTATGAATGAAAACCACAACTTGTTGCATTAGACCGTTCCAGGGATGCAGACATGTTTGTTTCTGAATGCTAGGCTTTGAGCTGGGCTAGGCAAATGGCAACAGCTCTTTAGTTTCAATCTTTTCTTGTAAATGGTAAATGGACTTGAGCTTGTAAAGTGCTTTTTCTAGTCTTCTGACCCTTCAAAGTGCTTTTACACCCATTCACACACTGATGGCAGAGGCTGCTATGTAAAGTGTCCATCAGGATTAACTTATCACATTCACAAGACGAAGCAGTGGGAGCAACTTGGTAAGTGTCTTGCCAGAGGACAAATCAGACCCTGAACCTTCTGGTTTAGGGATGACCAACTTTATCACTGAGCCACATTTGTCCCTTGTCACAATGTGGCAAAGTGTATGCTAGTGGTTGGAAAGAATCTTTAACCTTACAACTAGAAGACATTTAAACAACTAAGCTCACAATCCTCCAAATGTCTTAATTCAGCTCAGGTGAATATCAGGATACATATGCACTGCAGCCCCCTGCAGCATACACACAACTGAAAAGAACCTGTGAAGTGCATGTGGGATGCTTAGAAATGGTCATCCTCATTTGGACTACTCACAGCTTTGTGCTATTGGCCAATTGCAGAGCCATCTTGGCTGTCTTTTTATCCTGTAACCAGACATGTGTGTGGACACATCACATCTCCAGGTCATAGGGTATCTCCTATCACCTGACAAAATCCTTAAGGTTTAAAGTCAACTCAATGAAGTGTTGCTTTCTTGGTTTTCTGGCCATCCTGCAGGATGTATGAAAGCTGAGAGACTGTTAAACATCTAGCTAGTCCCAGGCATTACATTCGTCTGCATGTGGTCGAGACTTTGGTAGATTGCAGCCTACCTCTAAATTATGCCAGTGTTTCAAGAAGCCCTTGGCAGGCTGGAGAAGCAATTCATCCAGAGTAAATGTAGGTTGCCATGATATGTGAAGAATGCTTTGTGGAGAGAGCTGTGTGCAGCCAAAATAAAAGCTTCAATGAGTCCTTTACCTCAGCTCTGAATGAATCACCCTCAATGTGTCAAAGACCACTCGTGTTTTATCTCAGTCTGTCTGATGGGGACTTAGACACTCGGTGGATAAGCCGGGCCAGAATTTGGATGAGGTGCAGTGAGGGCATTTCATATGGACAGCCATCTAACGCTATTGTGGAATACAGTCTCAAAGGAGTATTCTGGCAGTGCCATCACTACCAAACCGGGCCAGACTCTATATTGGAATGGCAAAGCATTCAGGGATCTGATCCATAGCAGCACAGATGAGAATGTGCTGTTCAGTCAACATCAGAAAAACATGTCTGTAGCATTGTCCAAAATGCTGGTTTAGAAGTTTTGGATGACTCGGTTTGCATGCTGATCTTCCTCTTTTGCCACATACCCAACAGGAACATTTCACAGAGCCGTTCTCAGTGTCTAATTTTTACTTTCATCAGTGCTTCCTGTGGCCTCTTCAACTCCTTCCTCCCTTCTGATCCGTCAGTATGCTTCATTCTCAGCGTCCTTTCTGAGCAGCATGGCACCAGAGCCTGTGGGACAAAACCATCTGTCAGCCAGCGAGTAGGGACAGCTAGACATGCTGCGACCATTAGCGCAATGGATTTCTACTGTTCGCTGTCTCAGGATTAAAAAAAAATTCTCCTTGCATTCCCTGCACACCTTCACTTTTTAATGGAGTGTCAAAGTGAGACTTGTCATGCCACTCACGGGTTGTTGCCAATTCCCAAGCTGTTTCACACTGTCACTTGTTCCAAATTCCTCAATATTCCAGGGATGGTTTTGTGTCTACTCCATCGAGTGTTTTTTGGGATTTTGTTTTGACTTTGCCCATCAACCGCAGTTCTTCCCAGCCTCCATCTCCCCTTGCTCTCAATTCAATCATCAGTTTACCTTATTTATTGTTTCAAAATGTGATTTATAAGTTGAGGAATTTAACGACAAGTTTGATTTCCCAATCTTTGTCCTGCAAGACCATGTTAGTTTGTCTAAGTTTTTTTTCTCTTTTTAGAAATGTTGCATTTTATCTTTGAATTGAGCCTTGAGGACTTAAGTCACATATTTGAGGACTTGAGACTTGACTTAGACTTTGCCTGAATGACTTGATACTTGCCTTAGACTGTAGGCAGATGACTTGAAAGGACTTTACTTTTAGGACCTTTATTTTGTGAGGATGATTAAGTACATGGTAAAAGCTACATGTGAATCATAAATGCAGAACAATTTTTAAATCTTTTTTTTTTTTTTTTAAAAGATTATCTGATTGGCATTTCCATCATTGAAATATGGAGAGACAAGGAAAAGAGCAAAACATAATAAACGTGAGCAAAAGAGTGGGGACAACATGGCAAAGGTTCTGGGACAAATCCAGGGCCAATGCAGCAAGAACTTTGCTCCTGAACTTTGCTCCTGAACTTTGCTCCTGAACTTTGCTCCTGTATGTAGGATGCATAATGGGGGTTGCTCTACCAACTGACAAAACAATGCATATGCATTCTTTCTTCCCATCTTGTCATCTCTTGGCCTAAAAGAAAACCCAAGTGGTGACAGCCAGTTCAGTTCAGGGATTGAGAAAAAAATGGATGAAACCACAGATAATGATTACATTTGATCAATTAAAAATAATGTAAATATCAAACTTGGATTGACTACAAAGGCAGTCATGTTCATATCTTTAATGGCTTTAGAGCTTTTTTACCTGAATTCTGCAGGCAGTGAAAGGCGACATACAGTAGGTACCCTGGGTAATATTACACACTGACAAGGAGAAAAGCGCCTGGGGGAGTGAATGTCCACTCTGTTCATGTTGTTCCATTACTGGTGTTATGGATGAGCACAGTCAAAAATACTATTGCCTCCATAATTTGGCTACCGCATCTACAAAATATGAAGTTAGCACACAGAGGTGCAATGATCATATCGCCTCCAGGTTTCCATCTATTTGAATGCATGCAGGAGCTTTGACAGTATTACAACACATGACCCTGGGTTTCTGTGTGTCAATAAATAAGGGATGATATGATGAAATACTTGTATTTTGAAATGTTCATCTTGTAAAGTAAAATTGAAATAAATGAAAAGGTATCTGAACTAGCCATAGTGCCTCTTTTGTGAGATAAAGATACAGCTGATAGTTAAATTCAGGATGCACCTTTGTTGGTTTTTTGGTCCGATCCAAACAAAAAACACAAGCCTTTCCAGACATTATGAGACAGTAATAATACCAGTAATAGTGGATTTTGCTTTTCCCCCCCCCCAAGTCTCAGCGTCCTTGTTTGTATATGGTAGTAGTACTGACAAGCCATTTGTGCAGTGATCCCGAGGAAAAGCACAACACCACAGCTATAATTGCTTGTTGCAGATGGAGCCAAAACACATACAAACAGAAAAAATAATGTTGTGGATAATCAGTTTTTTGGTGCATAAAAACTCTAATGCTCCATTTTCCTGCTTAAAGTCACTATTTTAAAAGCAATGTTGGCCCTATTTGCATTGCTCCTTTGTGAGAATCAACATGATTAAACTTTCAGGACTTCCTGTTTGGAGCACTTAACACACTCTCAATCTCCCAGCGCTGTCAGCGACCACGCAATGGCGTGTGCTGTCTTTGCCGTGAAGATCAAGCAAAAAGAGGCAGCGCTTGACAAGACTTTCCTGGTGGACACATGCCTCAGTCAAGATGAAATTTATTTGCTCTTCTTCCAAAGCGTGTCTGTCCACTCCTCACTTTGTCCCCCTGTATTATTTGTCAGCAGGGTCTCCCCCCTGAAGTCGCTTGTGACACACCAGCAGCACAACTTAATTACCCACAAAGCTCTGGGAAAAAAATAACCAAGAGGCCACTGTAATCACTGTGACTCCACTGCCAGAGGTGATGTGAAAGCTCCTTCCTTGCTTTTACTCTGTCACCATGCATTGAGGCTTGTTTCTCTATTTCCCTCCTGCTCATCCCCCCTCGTTCCCTTCAGTTGGTGGCATTTCTCTGGGGTGAGAGATGGCAGCTCCGATGGAAGGACTCACCCACACTTAATTACCCACAAGCCCCTTGGAGGGCAAATGAAGAGTGACTGAGGCATGCGCACCGTCATCCCCTTATGTTTCTTCATCCCAGCACAGCTTATCTGCACTTTTTTCCCCCTGCCCCTCCACTGTGAATATTTCCAACATGTTGCATAAGAAAACCATTTTTTTGTGAAATTCCATTTTTTGAATGGGATTATTATTAGCATAAACATCGCTCAAAGTTTATACATTTTAATGAAATAATCACTTGCAGTTGACATTTCCCCCTTCGGTTATTCCAGTGCAACATAACTTCAAACCCTGCAGAGCTGTTCCTCTCACAGTTTTCAGACCGACCAGCGGGGGCCTCAGATTGGTCACAGTTAAGCTCCAGTGCTTCTGGGTAACAGAGTTTGTCATGCCCAACACCCAGAGTGATATTATGAAAACATGGGATTGTGAGAGCACTGCAAATCAAGAAAAGCACAGTTGTTCTCAACCACATTTGCCCTTGAAGCGGCGGGGACACACATTATGAGACACCGAGATCAATTTGAAAATTTATTTTCATATAAAAAAGACACTATGAAAACATTAGAGGACTACTTTGTACAATCTTATGTATAAAAAAGAACCAAAAATGTGGGACAAAGGGAAAAGTAGGGGGTTTTCAAGAGTAAATTAACTAGAATGTTGGATGGTTTTAGCAGTCGGCTAACACGTTAGCATCGAAAGCTGGAGGGGTTCAAGGTGAGAGTAGTAGGGTTTTGATTTGGCATCTGCCTGTGTTCATATCTCTTTATGGGCTTCTCAGCTTGGCAGGCTTTCAACACACGTAGGAAAACAAGATGACAAAAACACACTCTGACCATCATGTATAAGCATTTGCGTCATACTAGAGTTCATTTAAAGAAAATAAAAAAGGAACCGGGGGGGGCGGGGGTGTCAAGGGCAGGAAAGATGATCCTCTGTTCCGGTGGCACATTCAAAAGATGAATCTGAATCAGTCAATCACATCTAACTTACCGTTCCTGGAGTTGAAAACTAAAAAAAAAACCTGTCATAGTGTTAGTGTGCAATACTAAAAAAATATGAAGAAGTAAATCTGTGCTGAAATAAAACATTCACATTCCTTCTTTCTTTCTTTCTTTCTTTCTTTCATCAAATCCCATTTATACATTAAAATAGGAACAAGGCTTTGCGGAGAATTCCTCTCAAAAATGCTCAGTTTTCCTCATACAAAAAACGAATTTGTCAGTTCAAAGGTCAAATCTGTTTCCCCTGAGACTGATGTTCCCTTCTGCTGCACACCACATGGAGTTGAAACCATGTACCCATGAAGGCCGCTGCTCTGCTCCGTCCTGTGTGGACCTCGTGTGCTGTGGGAATCCTAAGTCTCAAAGAAGGTCGTGGAGAATGTGACCTCAAGCGAGGGGCGACACGGGGACCGAACCCACCTCGCTCCTCCTCCTTCCTCAAGAGGAAGGAGTGAGCTGTGAGGTTTTGTCTATCTGCTGATTAGCTTGAAAGGTTAGCAGGGCCGCGCTCTTGTCTCACCATCTGCGCTGTGCTGCACTAGCACCACATTAGGGATCTTTAAACAGATGGTTCGAGGGCTGCTTCTGAAAATGTCAGGACAAATCGCCATCCCCGGATAATTACTGTTTTGAGCTCTCGCCTTCTTAATCTGCATCTCTTCCATGCCTCTAGCTTTCTCATTATATATATTTTTGGATCTTCTTGCTCGGCTACCATTTTCTCATGCACTTTTTTCTTCTGCCTAAATTGTCTCGCATCTCCTATCTCTGAGCTGTTCGATTAATGGGGACTCCTTTTGAAAACCGGCAAAAAAACAATATCACGATGTCTATTGAATTCATCCTGAACTCTGACGCTCTTTTTTTTTTCTCCCACTCGTGTGTGGAGGACTGATGCGCTAATGTAGCAACAGCAGAAAAACCTGTTGTCCTCTTTGAGAGACTGAAGTAGGGATGTTAAATGTGAAGCAAAGGAGCAAAACACCTCCAGTCTTTCTTTTAAACCTTTTTCTCTCTGTTTCCTCTTCACTCTTTCACCTTGTGGCCTTGGACTCTCTGGGGCTCCCTCCACAGCTTTCTGTCTCGCTCTAAATTTCTTGGAGCTGCTTGCTCACAAGCAAAGGAATCACACGGAAAGTTATCATGTGAACTATGAACTCAACATCTGGCTAAATTTTGAATGTTAGGATTTTGTGCAACATGTTAGCACGACGATAATGGTGGGCGTAATGAGCAACAGAGGTGGAGACATTAGGTGGAAGCCATGATTGCAATCTTGGACTTTGCTCAGCTGCTAACTCTTCATAAAGGTCTGGGTTTAAGAGCCTCCTAAGGTTAAAAAAAATATATATCCTCAGAAACTGGGGGAGAGAAATGAAACTGATGAATTCTTCAGTCTAAGCTTTTAAAGCTAGCGCTTTGGCAGAATATTAGATGCTAAACGGAGCTAGCACGGATTCTATTTGGGGTTGAAAAGGAATGAAATATCCTCTTTTTATGGCATTACTGCGATTGGTGATGGCTGAGATGGATTCACATGGGGTAATCTTTAAAGGCTTGTATCTCTTAGCAGTGGGGGGAAAAGGGGGATTCAAGAATCTGCATAACGATCCCTATCCTTCATTTCCCTCATGGTTTGATAACACAGAGAGCAACATCACATTTGTTTGCCATGTGAGCCCTGAATCATGTTTTTTTTTTTTTGTCAAAGCTCCACATGGGTTAATTCTCACAGGAAATGAACAAAAAAATTATAATAAAGGCAGCAGAACCAGAAAAAAAAACGAACCAGTTTGAAATTAAATCAATTCCTCTTGAACAGTTAGATAATAAAACACAACTCAGTTATTTCTTTCAGTCATATTATTTTTCCATTAAACGTTTCAAACCATAAGGGAGGACAATTTCTTTTTTTTTCTTTTTTTTTCACAAATAAGTAGAAAATACATAAAGAGGGAATATGATGTTGACAGAGAGGAGGTGAGTGTCATGGATGGATAGGATTGTTAAACTTGAGCCTAAAGAAAAAGTGGAGAGGATGGCACATATCAGTGAGCAGCTTTCCCCCGCCCCCCACATCCCCTTGCCCTCCACGTTAACCAAATGATCAAAATGAAAGTAAAAAAAAAGAGAAGATGCTGTCGTCATCCATTAAAGATTTGAAGAAAATAAATGAAAGAAGGGGGCTGCCAGTGCGAGAAATTTCAGTGTGATTTGTATCCCTTTGCTATAAAAAAGAACTCAATGGTGCAGAAATATTATTTTTCGCAGCCCGCCCCCCAAATCATCAAACAATTGAAAGAGATTTCTGTTTTTTTTCTCCAGAATAAAATCAAGACATTTTTCTCTCAGAAATAAGTTTTTCATAGTTTTTTTTTTCTTTGTTCATTTAAAATGTGTTCCCATTCACAGACGTGTCGAGCTCCTGTTCTTTCTTTTCAATAGTCTTTGCGAAAATATAGAGTAGAACAGTCTTCTTTCCTCGTCTGTCCACCGCAGCAGTAAACAAATACAGTATGGGATCTGACGGCACGTTGCAGGAGACAGGGAGCTGTGTGTGCGAGATCTTTTGCGGAAAAAAAAAAAAAAAAAAAAAAAATCATGTACGTATGTATAGCTTTTGAGAAGTTCAGTATCTCTGTGTGCATTTGGATCTCAGCATGAGAGCCTGTGTGTGTGTGTGTGTGTGTGTGTGTGTGTGTGTGTGTGTGTCAAGTGAGTGCGTCTACGTCCGTGTGTCTTCACACTTCAGTCTGGAAGTCTCCCTCGGACGAGTCGGGTGTGTTTGCTGAGGAGGAGTCCCAGTTCTTATTGTGCAGCTCCATCCGGTCCTTCTGCTCCCCAGGCACAATGGACAGCTCGGGGGTCATGGTCTTGAAGCTGTCCCAGGAGCTCTGGTCCTCTGGGGTGGACTTGTCCTGATGGAAAGAGGAGGACAAAGGAAAAAAGGGGGCCGTATAAGGAGACGTAAAATACAAATTAAGACCCTGCGATGACGTCAAAAAAGATGCGAGATCTCAGTTAAGACGGCGTCACTTTTTTTGTTATTTCAGCCAAGACATCAAAGAAGCAATGACCAAACTTATTTGGGAGAGAGAAGTTTGTTTTCAACATGCATCCCATTTGACACACTAACATCCTGCAAATTCAGATTACCAACCAAATGAAGAGGGAAAATACATGTGGTCCTCTAACTGCCAAGGGACCCAAACTAGCTGTCGAGCAAGTTCTTTGTGGAAATTAGACCAATGAAAAAAGAGTACAGGATTGATCAGGATACTAAAAGCCCCTGTACACCCACACAAAGTGTTTGTAATTATTCCGGCTGATAAGACCTGAACATAGGTAGTGCTATGGTGAGAATTGAGGATGTGATACATTCTAAGCAACAATAAGTATGATAACAGGTCAACAGGTCCTACTGCCCAAATGGGTCCTATACAAATGAACAGGGTTATGAGGGGTGTATGGGTATGTGGACCACACCCACCTATTGCTACAAAGACATCTGATCGTTGTCTCATCACTAACACTTGGTGGGTTTACAGAGCCTTTAAAAGGTAAGGGCGTTCTTATCTATGCATATTACGCATTCCAAATCTAGACTTGTATTGTCTTGAATTGATTTGCATCTCTAAATATTATGGCAGCTATGTATCCTCAAGTTGTTGCATTGATCAGAGATCTGGTAACTTGACGTCTCTAAAAGCTCCTTCTCAAGCTTTATCACCAAACAATGCTGACACAGTGCAACTTGTCTGATTTTGCACATGGAGCGTTCTTATTGATTCACAACCTGCTTTAAAAAAAAGGCAACTACTTCACCTGTCAACAAGGTTTTATGTATATTCATTATTGAAAATCTTAAAAAGGGGCCTGCCTCTATTAGTATTAAATTCATAATAACTCCAGGAACCAATTGAGTCCCAATTAGTGCCCACAATTCATGCATGCCCTTAGGCACGCTGGTGGGTTAATATGGCCCTGAATTCCTGCTTGAATTCTGATCCACTCTACTTACAGTAGGTTTTGGTTATAGTGTTCCTGTGAAATTATAAAATATTAAACCTTATTTGGATGGTCTCCCTTTTAGGTTGATTTCTAAAGACATTGGATTACATAATCTGTCTGAACTGTCGCTTGTGTGATAAATGTCTGCTCCTTGCCATGTTGGATTTGGAAGCAAAGATGTTTCCAAATATCTGCAGTTAACTTTGGAAAGTGAGCGATATTTTAATAAGTCAGCGCCTTGCTTAAAATGATGCACCTGTGAACCATTTCCTTTCAAGGTTGTAATTTGCCAATACAAAGATTTTAAAATGGTTACATTGAATGCACCCACATCATTTTTTTATTTTATTATTGTTGTCTCTCGCAAAAAAGTGAAAGTATCTGGTAGTTATTAAACCCAACATATACTTGAAATCAGAACCATACAAACCTGTACACCAAAGCACATGTCCCTCTGTGGTCAAAACAAACCTCTGTTTTTTTTTAATTTTTATAACAGACCTGATAACTTTCCTTCTCTTCAGTAACCCATCAGATTGACTGGTTTAAGCTTGAAGGCTTTTAGGCTTTGGTTGATTATTGCTGCATGAGCTCTGCAGATGTCCCCACCACACATGTAAAATACATGTTCAGGGATTAGCTCAACGCCCAAATTAGAGGTAGCATTATGCATCGGATACAGACCATTATTCAAATCAGACTAATTATCGTGCAGAGTCAATGATTCCACCGATACGATTGGGAAAAGACAAGAGATCGCAGGGCCAGGATGATTCTTGTTGGAATAAAACAGAGACAAGAAAAAAACAGGACAAACTACTTAGTGTTTGTTTTTTTTGTGTTTTTTTGCAGACATGATGAACCCAGCTGCTGGACGACATAGAGCTGAATATTTATAATTTGATGACCACAGGACAAAATGGCCTATCATAATTGCTTAGGAAAGTGTTTTTTCAGAGAACATCTCAATGAACTACCAACTGCTTAATCCAAAGTTCTGCGAGTATTTGTATGTTTGTACATATTGAATCCATAAACGAGAGAGAAGTAATGAATGCGCTCACAATCTCTGTCACACAGACTCTTGTAAAGAACTTGTGTGTGATTCATCCTGAGTTAATCATCTTTTCTCTGCGTCACACACACATACGACTCATTGATCGGAAATCACACAGCTCTCCCTCTCTCCCCCTCCTCCCCCACCCCTCAAAGTGTGATGATTGTCACTGCAGCGCTAGGGGGCAATATATGCCTGATTATCATTCTCACTGCGTCACAGTCTGACAGTTGGTGAAATGAATACAAAAGGCATAATCTGGGAGCCAATTTGCATGCTAAATGCCGGCGAAGGAACATTTTGTAATGCAGGAGTGTGGGTAATACTGCAGTTAAGCCCAACTTTATCCCTGGGAGTCCAGGCAAACGCGATTGTGCTGCCACTGCGTGTCTATATGTTTCTCTTTTTGCTATCTCCTGCCTGCCTGTGTCCCCTCCTTGCTCCCAAAGCCCCTTCTCTCATCCCTCTCTCATTCCCCTCTCTCCTTTTTTTTTTCTTTTCTTTTTTTTTCCGACAGCAACCCCTCTACTTACACTCGACGAGTTCTTTTCACCTCCGGCAGACGAAATGCTCCATCGCTTTTCCCTCTGTGGTGATGAAATGGGAAGGAGAAGACAAGGAAGAGGAGTGACGAGAGAGAGAGAGAGAGCGAGAGAGAGAGAGAGAGTGAAAAGAAAGAGACAGAAGAAGGGGAGTAGGGACGATGGGAGGGGGTTGAGGGGTGTTGGTGGCGGAGGGAGGGGAGGGGGATCACAGTCACTGACAACTCTGCCCTGAAACAATGGCATTGTTCCCACACCTTTCAGCAGGTGAACAGGCAGTTGTTGCTTCGTGCTTACACCTTACCCCCAACCCGCTCCCTCTCTGAGACAATACAGCTGATGCGCACACTTAAAACATGCACACATGAACAGAAACAGTGCAAACAATGATTGAAACAAGTATAATTAAACTGTGTGGGGAATAGGCAGTATTTTATTTTATTTTTTTAGCATCCTGACCTAACAGGATTACACTGGAACCAAAGACAGCGTGACTGTTAGATTCTACACGCTACTCTAATATCAACGACTACTGCAACAACAGGGGATAAGAGAAAGGATGGGGTGTGGGCATACAGTAAATTGATTTTTAAAAGCCGTTAACGGTGAGTCTACTGTGCGGCGCTAGAGGCTTTGCGAGCTCATGTATTCTAGATAATGTTGAAAAAAGGAATCTGGTTATTAGTGCGTGGAAAGACTATCTACACTATCTGCATTATTGATTTGTCGCAGTATGTGTTAACACGACACATAAAATAGTCAGAAGACGGCTATAAAGCAGAAATTGCTGACACTGTATGTTCCGCTACTGGCTTAGACACATAAACCCGCTTAGCCCTGCTGTGCCTCTGCAGTGTAATCTATTGTTTTTGATGGTCTTGTCTTTATGTTCTTTTTGGAAGCAAAATCTGTGTTTAGTTTTTTCAAATTTTACAGGTGGTCTCAAGTCACAGGTATTTTCTTATTTGGCTGGTCTGAGAGTGGGCATGCAATGATTCATACAACACTAGTGCGCACACACAACAAAGAAAAAGTCAGACAAAACAAAAAGTAGCTGTGTTATAAAGTATCTGGTTTTTGGTGCTGTCAAATGTACTTTCTAAATCCCAGTGTGCCACAAGTCAGGGCCACTATTGATTCCCTACAGTGACTTTAAAAACTTGGCTAATATTGACTGTATTGACCGGACCTTTTTTTTTTCTTTCTTATTTCAGGTTGATGTTAACACTTTTTCTGCGACACTAAATTGTAAGTTTGTCCTGTTCCTGTTTCTTCCTCTTCTTTTAAAAGCAGTAGACAAGTTTACGAGTTTGTCATTTTCTCATTTCCATGTAAGTGCTTGAGAGGGAGTCTTTATGTGAGTGGCGAAAACACAAGGACAAAGTATTTTATTTTGTTGTTTTTTTTTGTGCGATGGCTGACAAGTGCTTTTTCTCATTAGGAGAAAATATTTGCTTCAACTTTTCCGTTAATACAATTTTTTGTTTCAGCTGTTGGCTGCATATTATATCATTTGCTAGGCACTTCTGTCATTTCTGATTTTGTTCTGCACATTTGGATGTGTTTTTGAATTTGCATTGTTTTTTTTTAAATTTTGTCTTCTGTTTCTCACAACACAAATTGTTTTGCCCCTTTGCGAACAACCACCAAACCAATACTGTGGCAAATTTTTCGGCTTATTGCAGAGCCTAAAATGTCATATGCTGTCCCCCTCTGTCATTGCTTATGTTTTTGAACTTTTGGATATGTTTTTGAATTTGTTGCCTGGTTGTTATATAATAAATAGTTTTAGCAAGACCTAAGATTGATCTCTTTTGTAATTAAAAACATTTCCAGGGCATTGCTTGTTCTTGAATTTTGACCAAATGCCATGTGCTTGTAAACTTAAATCTCTGACATGTTGAGAATGTACAGAAACGTTGAATTTGCAATGGGTTTGATCATTTACGTTGATACACCTTCTGTTATTGTCTGTAATAGAGATAGAATTCAGGACTTAAGTCTATATTTGAGGTACTTGACTGAGAAAGCAGATTTAGATGTTGAATTAAACAACTCTATTTGATCAGTTGTTGTGTTTCTTTACTTTGTATCTGTTTTTATCCGCTTCCAACATATGCTATAACATATGGAGCATAAAAAGTTTCAAAGAAGATATCATAGTCGGGCAATAGGATGATCATTGTCAGCCTGATTTATGGCTGGCAGCCTGTTTTCTTCCTTGCTAGTTTCAATCACCATAATGAGCGCCTTCACATTTCTGCCAAAGCATCAAAAGTGTTCCAATCATTAGCCTCTAAAAGTACACTTGGAGCGCCTTCAGTGTTTGCATTGGAACAGGTAAAATGGCTCTCTGAAGTCACTGAAGATGTACCTGAATGTTGTCAACTATTCTCAACCTCAAAGTGTCTTTTGAACTGGCATAAAGTACTTTACATTACCCTTTTGCAGGCACAGCAGGGACAAACTGAGCTAATGTGGCCAAATAAGATCCCCTAATTCCCCGTCCATCACTAGTTAAAGACGAGAGCAGGGGCAGGCTCCACTTAGATTTTTGTCTAATCGCCATGTCATGCAGTTTCAGGAGAAATAATGTTGCAAGCTTAAAGTGTGACAGATCTAAGCAGAGAAAACGTTTTTTTTTTTTCGAGAGAAACGACTGAACGAACAACTAAAGCCATCTTAAGAAGCCTCTGCTACAGTGTTGGTGGATGAGGCCCACTCTCTGCCACTCAGAGTCCCCCTCATTTGGACCATGGAATGGAAGTCGTGTCTGGATGTGGGTGAGCAAATGTGTCAGCCTGTTTTTATTTTTTTTGTTTGTTGTTGTTGATGGGATATGTTTGGGGGGAGGATGGGCAGTAAGTTAGATAACTTTACCTTTGTTGACTTGGATGCCCATGGATCTGTGGACTGTCTGGCTAGATTCAAACTGGGACATGACAACAAGCATGCAAAAAAAAAAAAAAGATTCCAACAAAGAACATAAAACAGGAAAAGAAAAAGAAAAAAACAAAAACAGAAATCAATAAAAAGTGGCAGTAAGTCAATGAAAAGACATGCATTGAGTGTGAGACTCAGAAGAAAATTAAATCACATTAATGCATGAAGAACATAAAAAACAACGTCAAGAGTAGATTGAGTGGATACCAGAGTTTGACTGTTGTGTAGCGGGGCTCATAGAAACAATGTTTCTATGTGTTTATTCCATTACATCATCAACATAATTATATAATCCTGACTGCCTATTCAGCACTAAAAAAAATTATTATGGAGCATGAAAATAGACTAACTGGGCATTGCAGTCTTTAGCACCATTTACCCCCTTAGCAGGGGAAGAAATCTGTGTCACAAGTAATAAGGCTCTTCAAAGGAGCCGAATCTGGAGAATGTAGGGCAAATAAATTCCATTAGTGCAACACATTGCAAACAAACGAGCAATCAGACACACTGGCTTGGTTTCCTGCTGTCTGGGCCCCCGTGCAATACAAGGCTAACTCTCCTACAGTGAAAACCGTTCCAGCAAGCGTTTCGGCCCTTTTCACCTCCCTTTAATTGGCCCAAGGACACTAAATGAGCTAAATTAGTATTGTGCTTCTTGGTGCACGAAGCCTGTGTTAGGCTCGTTCCGCCTGGGCTAACTGTCCCCTCATTAGGAGCCACTGATAGAGCCAGTGTGCTTCAGAGCTTCACTCCGCCAGCCCTCGGTTTTCATGGGCAATTTGTGTAGAAGGGTGAAAAACAGTTGATGAGTTTATACTCGGCAGGGAGAAGGGGGCAAGGAAATAATTAAAAACAAGCTAATGAGTGGAATTAATTATTCAATTAATGCCTCAAATGTGCCACCGAGGGCTGAGTTTAGAGGGAGGAATGGGAGAATGAGGGACAAGGTAAAAGGGAAAATGTCACAACGTGAGGATGAATCGAGGGGAGAGTGAGATATGAAGAGGAAGAAGAGGGGGAGGACTTGCTCTATCGCTGGAATGTTAAATTGAAGCCCCTTAGCTTAATGCCAGCAAATTGACTATCAGGACCTATGGGGGTTTGCGAGCGGCAGCAAATTGCCCTCACTGAATCAACAAAAATGGAGTCTTTGTCATTTAAAATTATACATCTTCATTTTGCCTGAGACGTCCTCAAAGCAGACACATTACCTTAGAAAAATGTCCTTTAAGTGGCCTGAAAAAAACCTGCCAGAATATCAATAAAAGCCTCAAATGTTAACAGTGCATGCTAAAGAGAGCAGCTAAGTCTTGCCTCTCTTTTTCTAATGGGACAGGCTAATAAAGGAACCCTCTCAGACAATACAACAATATATTTCCATATGGAGGCTGACAGACAAGGATTTCATCACAGATTTACAAAAACACGCCTCGAGCTCAGATTGAATTGCAAATGTGTCTTTCATAATCCAACATTTTTGCTGGCCTCTCCCCGCTCTGATCTAGCATGAGTGAAATCACAACAAAGTAGAGAACTTGTTTCCTTTGTCGTTTTTTTTCTTTTTCTCCAACCCATTGCGTTCCGCACAACTCTGCACTGTCTATCTTGAGAAGGGGAGCCAAGCACGCTTCATTTAATCAAGAACACAGCCGGCGACGGGATGGAAATATATCCCATTTGAGAGCTAAAAAATGCATCAGCCAGACCATTACGCAGTGCGAACTCTCCCTCCCTCCCTCTCTCTGTCTCTCTCTCTGTTGCTCCCTCTCTCTTTCATAGACTCTCACAGTCCTTCCAACACACACACACACACACACACACACACACAGAGGCAAGACATTGCATCATCGGGCACTGAATGCAGATTTGTGTTATGACCTTATGAACCCCGTGGAGAGGGCAGAAAGTGACAGGCTAACTGCACAGTGAAAGAGGCCAATAAGCTGTTTGAAATCTAAACATTAGCGGGAACAGTAATACCGCGTTACACAGTCACGCTGAATCCACTCTGTCTCTCGGTAACCCCGCTGACTCCATTTGTATCCGCTTTCTATTATGAGAGGCAAAATGAAAATGGACTTCATGCCTCCTGCTAGCCATTT